TCTACTCTTTGTTATTTTTTTTGTAGTTTTGTTTTTCAATTTACTCCTGCTGTTCTATTTGTAAGTTGATTGCTTAACTGATTAATGTCCAGGATTTCTTCTTTTATAATTTTACTATTTAAGACCATCAACTTACTTCAGGGTATCAGTTTTTTGGGTCCCATAAGTTTTTATTAGTATTTTCCATGCCATTAAAAATTCTAAATGTATGTAAAACATAATTAAAATCAATCATGATTTATTTGCTGCTTCATGAATTATTTAAAAATGAATTTAAACATTTCTGAATGTGTGGAGACTTGTTATTTTTGTTTATTGACTTGCAATTTAATTTTATTGTGGCTGGAGAATGTGATCTATTGATATTCTTTGAAATCTTGATGTTTCCTTAATGATCTATTATGTAACCAATTTAAGAAAATACTCCATGTATACTTAAAAAGAATATATATTCTCTGAGTTCTGCATTTGTCTGTTAAATCAAATTTGCTAATTGTGTAATTCAGATCGACTGTGTATTTACTAATTACATTACTAATTGAAACATGAATTATATCTCTATCACTTTCTTCACATAATATTACAATTAGTTACTTCATCTAGCTGAAGGCTAACTTATTAGATATATAGTTTAGTGAATAGAACCTTCTATAACTGTGTAGTGACTCTCTTTATCTCTGATAGTGCTTTCTAAAGAAAAAATAGAGTTGGTGTGTCTGAGCTGTTGTCACTCACAATAAACATATGGGTTATTTCCGCACCAACAAGCAGTTCTTCAACTCTCCAGACACTGAATACTCTACAATTCAATTCATTTCTGATATTTAATACCTTGAGTTTGTGTCAGACTCCACAGGTTTAAGCACTCAGTCCTATAAAACTATCCTTATTTCAGGCACCAGTTGCAAGTATTAGGTGCCCAGGGTACCTACACATCTGTCTGAGTTGGCTGCAACGTCGGGGGTTCTTACAACCCACTCTTTCTGATTCAATAATTTACTAAAATAACTCATAGGCTTCAGTTGTTTCCTGATTTAACAGGCAAATACTCTTATTTTTGAAATATAGTTTTCTAGTTACCAATTCTAGGTTGACAGTTATTTTCTCTCAATATTTTGAATATATGATGGTGTTGTGTCTGCCTTTTGCTATTGAGAAATCTATAGTGGGTTTAGTTGTAGATTTTTTTGGTGATCTGTCTTTTATAAGATCCTCTCTTTGTCTTGAATATAAAGCAGTTTCATTAAAACTTCATCCTAATATAGATATGTTTCTTTTTATTTATCCTGCTTGGGCTATGTTGTGAGTCCAGCAATTTTGGAAAATTTTCATTTTTTTCTTTTGAATTTTATCCTATTCTTTTATCTGTTTTCACTGCGGGATTCTACTCCATCTGTATTAGGTCTTCTTATTGTGTTTTCTATGCTTTCACTTCTTTTTCTCTTCCTACCTCATTCAAGCAGCTCTAATTTCCATTTAACTAATATAAATTAGTTTATTTGGCTCTCTCTTTTGCTGTGTCTAATCTGGTATTCACCCAAACTTCACATTTTATATTTTAAAATATATATATTTTTCAATGTAAAAGATACTACTTAGTTCTTATTAAAAATCTACCTGTTCATTTTGTTTACATTTAAAAAATATTTGTTCATGTTTTTAATTGAATTTCATTTTCTTAAACATCTTATGTGGAATGATTTTTATATTATGTATCTGAAAATTCACACATCTGAAATACTTGATAGCCATACATCTTATTTCTGCTTTTACTTATGTTCTCTTCTTTATTTATTTGATGGTCTTTGATTTTGAGCTTATATTTATTTAATATTAAGCCATGGGATTGAAAAATTGCTAGCTCAAAAAGTGTGTGCTTTCTTCCAGAGATTTTTATTTCTTGTTGAAATCCAAAGGGTGTTCATAACTGGAGTCCCTGGCTTAATGAAGAAAACTCAACATCCACATCCACCTTGAAGCTTCCTCTAGCAAGCTCTAACTCTTTGGATAATATTACTTTTATCAGTATTTGCCCTCAGAATAGCATCTATCTTTATTATTCATTGCTTACCACTTAGAATTTGAAAAGTATGACTGTGTGTGTATGTGTGTACATATGCCTGCATGCTTGCATATTGAGAGAGAGAGAGAGAGAGAGAGAGAGAGACAGACATATGAGTGCTAAATCACTGAGGTTTGGACTTGATAGTCCTCACTAGTCATGTAAGCTAGGCATAAATCGAAACTTAGTTTTTATTAAATATCTAGTTTATGTTAAGGGATTCTTTAGAAATGCCAGTCTTCCACACTTGTAGAAATAGACACTTGTTGCTCTAATTTTTACAACAGACTGAATTTCTTCCTCCCTACAAACTATTCTCTGACTTTGTTAAGTGTATTTTATGAGATCACTTAACAAGAATCTATTGAATATATTTCTTGCATTATCTATATCCTGTTGTCGCATCTTTATACTTAAGTAGTACAAACTTTTACTGAGTATCTGTCATTTCTTACCTTTTTTTAGTGATTGAATGCTAGACATTCTGAACTGTTCCTATAGAAATGGTTGGTCTTCTAGTCCCCAGTTATGGTTTTATAGGTTTCTGCCACTCCTATGTACATCAATTATAATGACATTCAGAAACATATAATATGATGATGAAAGCATTATTATCCCTTAAGTCAAGAGTAATGATGATAATGATAGTTAAGGTATTTGAATGCTTCCTATTAGATACTATATTAGAACAACTGTTATTATAATTTTATAGATGAGGATGAATAATTTGCACAAGACCACACAGCTTATATTAATGCAAGTATTAGTATTTTATTTTCTCATCTGAAATATGTAAAAATAACAAACTAAGGAGAGTTCTTAATGATAAACACAAAATGTTGGTAGTAATTACTAGATTTCCCATCTTATCTCCATTTACATTTATTGTTGCCTCAGTTCCTGACCATGTTTTGCAAAATATGTTGCAGAATGATTCTCATTCTTCAGGATGGCTAGATTGGGTGACTGTATGCAGCTTCTTTTATTTCCAAACACAGGGAACCTGTATCAAGCTTGGGCCCATGCTGCTTTATTCTATCTTTAGACTTTTAGAGAATCCAGAATTAGCTTGAATGAGTCTAGACACAAACCATCAACCAGCGGCATGTTTCCATAATATTAACCATTTACTTTGAGTTTTGTTGGTGTTGCCTGCTTACGGGAATATTTGAGCTTGGTCTCTAATCACATTTGATGCATATTTTTACAAATCTCTTATTTGACTAACATGTTCAGTTTAAAATGTATATACCTTTAAGCATGAAACATTAAGTTTGGTTGGTAATGGACTCATTACTGTGTTCCAAATATCTGCACAGCGCTAAAAATGAAAATATTGGAACTGTACAATTTGGCAAATTGAAAATACTAACAAATCCTACTGTAGAATGTCCATGAAAGAAATGTGTTTCCCTTAAACTTATCCTGACAAAAGAGAAACATATAAAAAGATGATGATTCACTAAAAAACTGAACATGCAAGCATCAATTGTAGAATCTTAAGGAAGCCGGTAATTCCCTCACACTCTACAGAGGAAATAATTTCTCTACAGAGAAATAACTTTTTTGTTCTTTTAAATTTTTTTCCTTGCTTAATTTTAGTCTTCGTTGTAAGGAAAAAGCTCGTTTTCTAGCGGGACCTGGCCGAAGCAATACCTTTTGACAGTGTGGTCAGAAAGAGAGCAAATCTTTCCTTTTTGTTAAAAACTATTGGCTAATGAACTTCATCTTTTGACTTTTCCCCAGCTTATTTGGATTCCTCAGTTTAACTTCCATTTCTCTTAAAGCACAACGAAAACGTTCTAGTTGTTAGGACATCTACTTTAAATGCTAAGAAGATGTTCAAGTTTTTAACTCCTAAGAATAAAAAACGAAATAGCAGGGAAGAGCTAAACTAGGAGCTAATGGAAGTCGATTTATTCTATATTAAGAAATTTCTAAATGCAAAAGCTTTATAGCAAGAAACTGATGATCTTATATATGAAAAAATCTTTTTTTTTTTTTTTGGTGAAAGGAAGAGTTCTACGAAAGCAGGTAAATTTACAACCAAATTGTAGGGTAGTAATAGCAAAATCATGGGATTATGTTAATCTAAAAATAAGTAAATGAAAAACTAACATGATTGGTGATGAAATATGGATTGTTTTAATAAATATTTATTTTGAGTGTCTTATTCTATGTTATTTTTAGAGGACTGCATAAACTATAATTATTGCTGTCTTTGGTGTCCAGCCAGTTCATACCTTCAGCTTTCAACAGCACATTTGAGTTGCATGTTATTCTTTATACAGGACTAAACAGATCCTGATTTGCAATACATTTCCTATTGCGGAAATGTTACAAAATTATTCAGTGACCGCAGTAATGCTTATATTATAAATTCATTTTATTGTATTTAACATATATTAAATGCCAGACACTATTCTGACCACTTAACATATTTTTCATTCATGTCATGTGATAATTGAATATTTGTATACTGCTTTAAACTTTAAAAAATTAAAGAAACTCCATTGATTTGTAGAGTTCCGTGCCGTTTTCTTCTCTTGTTAGCTTTTCTATTACCAATCAACACATTTAATCTCTTTCCTGCTACCCACACTAATGTGTTAAAACACTTCGTACTTCCTGCAAATATTCTTTTCTTTTTAAAAAATTTAAAAAAAAAATTTCAAAAAGTTGTTTGCTCACTCTACATTTTTGGATTATTTGCTTCAGTAAAAGATTCCAAAAATTTGCAAAGACGATTTCAACTGCAGATAAATCATTCCATTCTCTTTTTTTCACTTTCTAAAACATTCATTCAATATTAACAGCCAATTCTGCATTCTTTTCTAAGTAATAACGTCAATGGTTAAATGCTTCAAAATTAAGTTCTTACTTTATGATTTTGGTAGTGTTTTCCATTTTGACGAAATACAAATGTGAAATTTTTCAGGTTTATCATACTTAGGTACCATATGTGATCCTTTACAAAGCTGCTTTATTAATGAAGAAAAAGGACTCATTTCTGCTTTTACTATAGCCCATGAACTTGGGCACACGTAAGTACCTTCTGTCACCTCCTTAATGTGCATTCTATTTATCTTTGCACAGAATGTCTGAAATTCCATCTTCAGTTGAGTAATTAGCACCTTTTTTTCTTCATAAAATGTTATTAGTGTAATTTTCTTCCCTGAAATGCTAACTCTGGCTCTTTTGTGATCTATGTTAGGTCAGACAGGCTGCACAGATCAACAGACTAAGCAAAGAACTAGAACTTGGGAATTCTTTTATTTCCTTTACTGTATTGGATACATGACAAGCACTTCTGGCCTCTGTCTCTTGTTATCCTATATATGACCAGGTACTGTCCTCTACCATTTTATGGGAGGGCCTGCATGGGCTCCTGGTTCTGGGGGACTCCCCCAAATATTTGTAATACCAACTCATTTCTTGCTCTCAGTAATGTACCCCAACAGAGGATATTGCCCATGGGAATTTCTTAGTTACTAAAAGATTTTTTTTTTAAGTTTTCACTTTTTCCATAGTTGCTCATAAAAATTTGGGATTCTCTTACCTTTTCCTGCATTACTGAAAAATATGCTGGGGTTCTATGTTATAAGAATAGAGGCCGTGATTTCTCATGATACCCTTGGAGCTCCCATGGAAAATCAGAAACCCCTACAAATGTATCCTCTGAAAAATGATTCTAAATGTACCCCTCAGAACTCCTGGTGTTTCTTTGTTATCTGCTAATAAGGACCTGAGTCTAGAGTTGCCTGTGTTAGTTTGACCACATTTAATTTCCTATTCATGCCTTGAGATATCATTAGAACATTCAAGGGGAATAATAATTTCAAATGGAGATAATTTTTAGTAAACGATCATCTCTTCAGTTCCTTTTTTGCATGGTTATATCTCATAATCATCAACAAGCTACATACTTTATTCTGTAAGTTGTTTATGAAGTGGGGGGATAGGATGAGCAGAATATCTGAGGACAGTAGAAGTAGTGCAGAAACATCTGGGTAGCACTGTGTGCTGGTCTTCAAGGCTGCTGACCAGTAGAAGACTATTTTTGCAGAGTACCATCTTAGATATTTGTTTTCTTCCTGAGAAACTCTTTAGGTGTCTCTAGTATATGGGTAAGTTGTTTAATTTAAAAAATGGTTTAAATACAAATTTTAGCAGGCAAGGATCTGAATTAAGTGGTTTCAGTGTTCCTTTTAAACTTGAGCTTATACTTGAGCTCCCCCCCAGATTGTATAGGATCTGCTGCCGACATGCTAATTACTTAATAATTAAGTCATGAAGATTTGACTGCTCTTTAGGAATGTTTTTATTATTGTAGTTCTGTTGAGCATCACTTAGGAAGTATGGACCGGAAATAATGTTTAGGGTCTTTCAGATAAAGTAGATGGATACTGTAGAATGATGAGAATTGGGGATTCACGAAGTTCTTGTGATATTGTAGCCATAGTCAATGGTCTAGAATTTAGTGTGGTGTTACCTTTACCTAATCTCTATCCACACACATCTCTATCCACAACATGGGATATCCATGTCGAACCTGCAGGAACTTTTTTTTAATCAGTGCTGTGGTCCATATTGTGATGAGGTGCAACAGAGTCCAAATATTTTGATTGTGTAGATTCAGATGCCAGATCACCAGCCTATAATATTTCTCAGCCATCAGGTACTTCTAAACATGAACATTGTAAGGCCTTATGGATAGATGGAGTTCAAATTGTGATATAAGCATATTTATCTATATTTTATATTGTATTATAATGTGATTATAAAGGATCTGTTACTAATATTGTATGCATCTTTTGATATTCCTTTTAAGTGTTTATTTTTATTTTTAGACTTGGTGTTCAACATGATGATAGTCCTAGATGTAGAGAAATGAATGTTATGCAATATCATGTAATGGCCCCTGTTTTAAGTTTTCACATGAGTCCTTGGAGCTGGTCAAACTGTAGTCGGAAATACATTACTGAATTCCTAGAGTAAGTAAATTTATGTTACATAATTGAACATGTATTCGATTATAAGATTTGAAATCGATATTTTTAAAAGTAGTTCAATTTCTGTTTAACTTTTTCTTGTTTAAATTTATGTTTACTTTCACTGTACAAATGGATGTTTAAGAACAAGAAGAGTTGTGTGTGTGTGTGTATACATATATATATATATAATTTCACTCTTTAAAATTAATATTTTTATTGTAGTTCAGACCTAGCTATTATTTTTTTATCCCGGATTATTTCTTGTCATGAAAACTATGTTTGATGGGAGACTTATGGGAATTCCAGTTTCCTTATGTGTTTTTGAGTTTTTTCGAAGTGACTAGGTAATATTTTGAGAGAAATTTTTGTGGCTGAAGTTTGACGTGCCCCTGAAGGACAGAGAATAGCTAAAGTCAAACTATGAATTATTCTGATAGTTCTCTAAAGTCACAGAGATGTCGAGTCTCTAACTCTACATAGTCTTTCAGGAGCTCTTTGCAGCTCTGAAGAGAGGTAGTAGATCCAGGTTTTTCTTGCTTTCTCCACCTTCCTTCAGGTTTCTCTGCTTCCCAATTTCTTTTATCCAAATCGTGTTTCTTTCTCAGTCACTGAAACTTTTCCAAAAGGCAAGCCTGAGCTCCTTCCCAATAATCTTTTTGTATAAATATAACACTACTTCACTTCTTCTACTGATATATTCTAACCATCAATTTAACAGTGTTAGTATTTTCTAATTCCCTCTCTCTGTATGAAACCTAAGGGAACAAATAAAATCATGCTTTGGAATATATATTTATAAATAT